ATTGTATTTGTGTGTAAGGAGTTTTGAAATGCAGCAAAGATCTATGTTGGTATAAAGGACAATGTACAAACGCAGGAGCAGATGTGAAATGGGAGGGAGGGATGTGTCAGAATGTGGCCCAGGGACTGTACTGGACAGTTAAATAGGTAGCACTCCCTCCATACAGTAGAATACAGTGCAGACTTACAGAGAATGAGGCCACCAAACATCTACTGAAATGTTCCCCAAGATGTTCTGTTAATTAGAAATAAAACAGGGACTTCCACCAAGATGGAGGCATAGGTGGAGATGCATTGCTTTCTCACACAACCAAGTTTAGAGTCAACTAAATATTAGCAACAGAAAACAACCAGAACACAGAAAATTGAACTTTTTGGAAGTCCGATAACAATGAATTCTTCAGCCTGAACATTAGAGGGGCGAAACCAGCAGCTGGCGGAGCGGGGTTGCACAGGAAAACTCGGTCAGACGGACTCAGGCACACAGAACCCAGGCGCAGGGTTGCAACAGGTGGACCTAGTGAGCGACCCAGCGAGCGACCACTGGGGAACCAGCGAGGGAGCAGGGCCGAGATTTTGAAGTGGTCGCGCATTCGTGCGCAGATAGAACAGCGAGGGAGTGAGCAGTTAGACGGGACCCAGCAGGCCCCAGCAGTGAGCAGCAGCAGAGGGCACCACCATTTCCCCCCCCCCCCCCCAAACACAGAGGGGTCCCATCCCGCTCTGACCACGCCCCCACATACAGCACCACAACCCAGCGACCTGGGAGTCCAAGGCTCCCCTCCTCATACTTAACGGGTGCAAACAGACCAAAAATGGCTCAAGAAGATCTCAAAGCCCCAGAGCCTATAAATCTAAGCGATGAAGAAATAGCAAAACTCTCAGATGCACAGTTTAAAACACTGGTGATCAGCATGCTCACAGATCTGGTTGATTATAGCCACAAATTAGAGAAACATATGAAGGCTAAATTAAGGGAAATGAATGGAATTACACAGGAAACCAATAGCGATGAAAAGGAAACTGGGACTCAAATCAATGGAGTGGACCAGAAGAAAGCAAATAATGGCCAAACAGAAAAGAGTGAAGAAGCAAGAATTCAAAAAAATGAGGAGAGTCTTAGGAACCTCCAGGACATCTTTAAACGCTCCAACATCCGAATTATAGGGGTACCAGAAGGGGGAAAGGAACAGCCACCAAAAACTTATTTGAACAAATAATAAAGGAGAATTTCCACAATCTGGCAAAGGAAATAGACTTACAGGAAATCCAGGAAGCTCAGAGAGTCCCAAAGAAGTTGGACCCAAGAAGGAACACACCAAGGCACATCATAATTACATTAGCCAAGATTAAAATGAAGGAGAGAATTCTAGAAGCACCAAGAGATAAGGGGACAGTCACCTACAAAGGAGTTCCCATCAGACTGTCAGCTGATTTCTCAAAAGAGACCTTACAGGCAAGAAGGGGCTGGAAAGAGGTATTCCAAGTCATGAAATCCAAAGACCTACAACCAAGATTACTCTATCCAGCAAAACTTTCATTTAGAATGGTAGGACAGATAAAGTGCTTCTCAGATAAGATCAAATTCAAGGAGTTCATCATCACCAAGCTCTTATTATATGAAATGTTAAAGGGACTTATCTAAGAAAAACATGAACAGTGAAAGGACTGCAAACTCACAGTTAGTAGCAACCACACCTAAAACAAAAGCAAACTAAGAGGACAGCTAGATCAGGAGCAGAACCATAGAAATGAAGATCTCAAGGAAAGTTAGCAACAGGGGAGTGGGAGGAGGAGAAGGGGGGAGAAGGTACAGAAAATAAGTAGCATAGAAGGTAGATAGAAAATAGACAGGGGGGCAAGAATAGTATGGGAAATATAGAATCTAAAGAACTTGAGACACATGGACATAAACTAAAGGGGGGGTAATGGTGGAGATGGGGGTAGGGTGGAGGGGAATGAAGGGGGTAATAGAACAACTGTAACAGCATAATCAATAAAAAATAAATCAAATTAAATTTAAAAAAAAGAAATAAAACACAATACAGGAGACTTCCAGCCAAGATGGAGGTGTAGGTAGATACACTTTGCCTCACCACACAACCAAAAGAAGGACAATGCTAATTAAACATAAATAAATAAACAGAACTACCAGAAAATCAAACTGTATGAAGTCAGACAACCAAGGAGTTAAAGAAAAAACATTCATTCAGACTGGTAGGAGGGCAAGTTCAGGAAACTCAGAGTCCCAAAGAAGATGGACCCAAGGAAGCACACAGCAAGGTACATCATAATTACATTATCCAAGATTAAAGATAAGGAGAGAATCTTAAAAGCAGCAAGAGAAAAGTAGACAGTTACCTACAAATGAGTTCCCATAAGACTATCAGCTGATTTCTCAAAAGAAACCTTACAGGCAAGAAGGGGCTGAAAAGAAGTATTTGGAGTCATGAAAGGCAAAGACCTAAATCCAAGATTACTCTATCCTGCAAAGCTGTCATTTAGAATGGAAGGACAGATAGAGTGCTTCTCAAATAAGATCAAATTCAAGGAGTTCATCATCACCAAGCCCTTATTATATGAAATGTTAAAGGAACTTATCTAAGAAAAAGAAAAAAATCAAAAATATGAACAGTAAAATGACAACAAACTTGCATCTACTAACAACTGAACCTAAAAAAAATCAAAAACAAAAATGAACGCAGCAAACAAGTACAACAGGAATGGATTCATAAAAATGGGGATCACATGGAGGGTTATTAGCAGGGAATGGGAGGGGAGAATGGGGGGAAAGGTACAGGGAATAAGAAGCATAAATGGTAGGTAAAAAATAGGGGGAGGGTAAGAATAGTATAGAAAATGGAGAAGCCAAAGAACTTACATGTACGACCCATGGACATGAACTAAGGGGGTGGGGGTGAGGAGTTGATGGCAGGAGAAGGGGTACAGGGTGAAGAGGAGTAAAGGAGAGGAAAAAGGGACAACTGTTATAGCATAGTCAATAAAATAAATTTTAAAAATAAAGAAAGCACGATACAGAAAAGTGTGTATGATATTGTTTGTGTGAAAAACCCCGAACTCCTACACACTAACACACACTTGCAGATGAGATCCCTGAAAGAAAACCTCAGGAGCTAGTGGCTGCAGTTCACCCTGAGGAGAGGACCTAGGGGGCTGTCAGGGTACAAGGCTCTCCACTGATCACACTGTGTAGCTTTCAGATCTGTTACCATACACATGTGTTACCCATTCGAAAGTAAAGGTTAAAAAAGACATGGAAATGGCACTAGATACAGTTAGATAAAGAAATAGCTGGCAGAGGGACTCTATATGAATAAGAATTTGGATTTCACAAAAGAAAGTTTGAAGTCTCTGAGACTTATAAATTGTATTTACTTGCTTTTATACTAATTAACTACACCAAGTTTACAAAACTGATCTTTTCTTAATCCCTTCCTTCTAGAAACCTAATATTGGACAAGTATAAAAGACTTTTTTTCCCTAAAGAAAGGAAAAGGCTGACCAATAATTTTGCCCAAGTTCTTATATATGGTTTTCATTATTTTCCTTTTATTACAATGCTTAATAATGTATATTGTTTTTCATTTTTAAGAAGTCTCATTAGAAACAGCTTTGAAAATTGTGTGCATAATTTCTGTCTTCACAAAGCATCACAGAATAAATCGTTACTAAGATGAAACTTACTGTATGGCTTCTACAATACCCTGAATAGCTATTGTTTCACTTGTGTGGAAAATCAAATGCTCTTTGTTTTCAGAAACTAGATCTCAAAACTCTAAATCATTTGGTTAAGAAGTATAGGAAATTGGCATCTTCAAATTGTGAGATTTTTATAGATCAAATTGTGTCGGGTTAGAGTTGTAAATTCTATACACAGCAGTGCTCCCCTCAGTGATGAAACACACTGAATTATGTTTTCAAGGGTGCTACCTGAAAAGTGCTACATACATCCCCTTTTCTAGGGCTGCGAAGTGTTAATAAGTAAGTAGTTTGCCGTGTTATTTAGAAACGTCCTTCATCCCCTCCTGCCATGGCCACTCGCCTCGCACATTCCCTTCCTCCACTATTTTAAGCCATGTTAACACGAAGACGGTAACACATCCCTTACTTACATAGGTTCATTACGGGATACTACACTCAGCTCTGCCTGGAATTCTAGATTCTAAATTGGATTAAATAAACCTCACAGCAAAGTCAACATTCACCTTTGTTATTTCTGCTAAAGCACAGGAGGCAAAGACAAGGCCCGTGAGCTGAACCTGGCCCTCCACCTTGTTTTATCCGACGCAGCACCTTGTTTCTACCTGGTGGCAGCGCCGAGCTCTCCTTTAAGGAGTAGTTACACTTATACGGTCCTAACATTACATTCAGCCCTTTGAAGGCAGCTGCCAGGCTGGTATGGCCCCCGGTGAAAATGAGTTTGACACCCTGTAAAGGAGCCCCAGTAAATGGCAATGATTAAGGTGCTCATTTATTTTCAGAGTTTCAGAGTGTAAAGTCACCTGAAGTGTTTGTAAAGCCTTTAAAGATGAGTAAGTGTGGAGTGGACGGTCCAGTGATGGACTTCCCCGCCCTCTGGCCCTCCATCTAAGGCTGGATCTAGGTCCGCCCTGGGCTTGCTGGCCCACGTGGAAAGAGCCAGCTTGGTGGCGCTTCCATGTCTCCGCGTGCTGTTATCCTGGTCTTCCCCATCGTAGGGCAAAGCTCCTCTGGAGAGACCAGGATTCACCGGGAACAGCAGAGACAAACCAGCAGTTGTGTCTGCCCCATCCACTCCCTGGCCCCCATTGCTCTTCGAAGGCAATGCCCTCAGGCAAATGTGTGGTGTGACCTCGGGGTGGTTTGATGAGCCCTGCTTTAATAGGGAGGGACCGTGGGTACCTTTACAAGTGGTGCTCGGTCTATAGGTAATGTTTACGGCAACAAAAAGACTAGAATGCCCCTTTTCAACTTGTTTTGTCTTTTCAATTTTATTTAAAGGTATGACATTGGCATTTGCAGGATCATATTTATTGGTGAACTTTGCTCCAAATAGAACTCAGACAATCTCTGCAAGAATGATACAGTGTTACTTCGTTGGGTGGCAGTTCCTGATCTACGTGGTAAGAATTCCCATTACTGTGGCTGCAGCTGTGTTATCTAGACCACTGGTCCATGCAGATGTTAGGGAACTAATGCGAACTAATGTAATCTTTTCTTTTCACCGTTAATATCCCACTAAAATATAAACATATTTCACCAATAGCAAAGCATTTGAAACACTAACTCGGCAATGGAAGTCCCCCGGTTTCCCAGGTATCCTGTCCTTGGGAGGGGGGTGCCCAGGACTAGAACAATTTCTACAACATTTAATCAGACAAATTGCAGAGCAACATATTTTAGGACAACTCAAAGTAAAAAAAAAATCCCCCCCCAAAAATACCTCTCTTCCAAGGTCAAAGGAAGGGACCTGCAGACACACTTTACTGCACTGAGTTTTGTTCAGGATAGATAGTCTCTTCAAAAAAGTTCTCATAGAGACCAGTGCAACAGGTTATCTGTGGAATCATGTATTTTTTGGATTAGATGTGACTTCAAAAAGCTATTTTCTGTAGTCCTCTGCCATTAAGACAGGTAACATAGTGTGATCCTACTGTATACACCTGTTATTTAAAAATGATTAGTGAATTTTGTTCCGAGTGTAACTGAGGATATTACAGCAGGGACCACATGGTGTTATGTTCTTATCTGGCAGTTCCTCGTCTGTGTGACAAGAATTCTGTATCTTACCAGCTCTAAGATTCAATCCTGAACACTGGAATGTAAATGTTTACCGGTTTTTCTCTTTATAATCTCCACTCTGTTCCTTTCTCAAGAAAGATGCTTAGATTTCTCCATTAAAAAGAAATCTTCTTACACTGTACACCTTTTAATAAACTAATAAACTGCCTTACTTCCCTTCCACTCACCACCAAAATTTATTCCCCTCCATTTTCTCAGCTTCTATTCACTCATTATTCATCCTAATCTCTTCATGGATCCCTCCCCATGAACTGCCAAATGGAAACTTTGTGTGTGTGTGGGGGGGGGTCTTGCTTCTTCTCCAATCTTGTATAGCATTTACTTGCAGCCCATCATCTTCTGCTTGAACTGCTCTCCTCCCTGAGCCCTCCATTTGTTTTCACTCTTTCTCCCCTTCCTCTCTGACTATTCCATCCTGGGCTATCAATAGTTACCTTCTTCTCTCCTGCCAACCACTCCACTCTTACCTATTCATGCTAAATATTCATCCAGGGTTTTCTGGGGTGATCTCACTGCCCACCCCACCATCATCCTTTAGAAGGACTTGCAAATCCAGACCTACGTTCTCTTCCCAGGCCTCTTCTGAACTGCGGAGCCATGTTCTCATCCGTCCACAGATTGCTCATCCCTGCCTGGGGATTCTGTGGGCTCCTCAAATGTAACATCTCAAAAACTGAACTCAATACGTCTTCTCTCCTAAACTCCCTCCTCTCCTATATTGGGAGGCACCCCTTGCCCCCTGCCTCCCCCGCCCCTCATCGCCCTTTACAACTGGGCTTCCCAATGCAGGTTAGCCTTCCTCAGGGCTGTCCTGCTATATGTCTGCTGCCTGCCAGTCCCTTAACTAGCACGGCTGTTGCCTATCAAGTCCAAGAATTAAAAGGACTTGTTGAGTAGTCTGTGACACTCTAAACTTGAAGACCTACCAACACATTGTATTCTTTGCCTAGATGCAAAACAGATTCTTCATCTAGTAAGAAAAGGGTCACATAGTTTATGACCAGAAAATCAATAGCCTAAGTTGAGTCCTTTGGAGATGCATCAAGACTTATTTTGAGGGGAATAAACAGCGTTGTTTGAAGATGATGTATCTTATTTTGTTTTAACACCAGAGAAAACATTTGCAAAGAATAAAACTACTTTTTATTAAAACTTGTATTGATATTTCCACAAAAACCTCTGGAATTAATTGCATTTTGCTATTTCCCAGAGTCAACTCTTAACATTCATTCATTTATTCACCAATTCATTTAATTTATTAGTCAACCTGAGTGTTGAGAGGAATTTCTGTAGCAGGAATTTCAATTCTGGGAGAAACCCACAGTCCTGTAAAATAATGAAAGTAAATGTCACCCAAAAAAAAGGTAATTCCAGATATTTATTAGATAGGATAAAATAAACCTTTAATGAAGCCACATTTGAATAACACTGTTGGCACTGGACCCTGAGGGGAATAGGTCTATGTTATCTGAGTTTGGAATTTAATCTGTCATATGTTGCATCTCTAAAGACCAGCATTTGTCAATTATATACAAAGATCTTGAGCTAAAGTTTGGTTTAAATCTGTTAAACATCTAAGTAATTAATATTTAATCCTTGGATGTGGCAGATTCCATGCTTTTTCTGCAAACTATGACTGTGAAGATTTTAATTATAGTAATTAAAACTGTTCTTTGAAGTATCTTTCATCTAACTGTTTTAATATTACATTGAGTATAAGAGCAGAATCTGAATTGCCTTTCAGGACTGGTTAAAAACTAACAAATTGGCCCTGGGTAGTGTGGCTCAGTGTATTGAGTGCTGGCCTGAAAACCAAAGGGTTGTTGTTTTGATTCCCAGTCAGGGCACATGCCTGGGTTGCAGGCCAGGTCCCCAGTAGGGTCTCTCTCTCCCTCCCCCTCTCTCTAAAAATAAATAAATAAAATATTTTTTTAAATAACCAAAAAACTAACAAATTGAATAAAAATATTTCAAAGTCTGAGTAAGTTTTACATCTCTCAACAGGGGATTGTAAAATCGTGTTACAGACTGGCTAATAGCATCCCCTTGGCTCATTTATTTACCTGTACCAGGTGGATGTCCTTTTTACCTGTAAGCCTCAAAGGAACTGGAAGCCTCAGATACAGGCCCAGAAGCCCATCCTCTGAGCTGGGGCAGGAAGAGGATTTGAGAAGCCTGGTGTCTACTGGCCAGTAAAGAATGAAGTGCCCTTTACTCACCCACAAAAAAAGCCTTTCTTAGCCTGTATTCATAGACGGGTAGTCCTACCTGATGCTTGCCAAAAAAGCAAAACAAACTGAGTGGGTTTTCAAGGTCAAGCTAGCTTGGAGAGATGCTGGGTAACAGGGCCCCCTCTGACAAATACATCACCCCTCTTAGCATATGGAAAACTAAAAGTACTTTAGGAAAGAGACAGGCTTAATTTTGTTAGTCCTGCATGCCCCGGGCTTACATGGCCATGGGGCCCTTTTCTGGACAGACCTTTTATTGATTAACACTATTAACTCGGGCTACAGAGCCCAAGTGAGGAAATGCAGCTCTAAGCCTCAATCACTTAATGTCCTTTGGCAGACTTGAACGTGGCTGTTTGGCCCACCCGTACTTTCCAACTGACTATTCAAATTGAAACCTCTGTTGCAAACACAGAATCCTTCACAAAACAATCTGCATGGTGCTCATTTTCTCTCCACCAGACAAAAAATTAAATCAGCAGAACCCCAAAGCCAATTAGCAAGTCAGCCTTCCTGGCAAAGCCACTTCGAGAAAACTGCTTGTAAGGCCTCAGCATGTATTGCATGAGGTTCATTCGCTTTGTTGTCTGAATGCAGGTAGCTCTTGCAGGTCTGCCCTTGGGCCTACTTCTGCAGGAGCAGTAGCCACCCCTCACTGAGCAGGCTGACCCTGTACCTAGCATAACTATGTCTGTTACCTGCACAACAGCCCTGTATGTTAGCAGATGGGGAACCTGAGGTAGGGAGGTTCAGTAACCTGCCCAAGGCCACGTGAATACCAAAGGGCAGAGTCAGAGTTCGAAACAAGGCAATTTGAGTCCTCCTCCAGGAGCACACTCCCGTGCACCTCACTGTGCCAATTTGTGAAAGCCAACTGCTGAGGACCAGATCTGTGTCCAGACTTGGTCTTAGAGAGAATCTTTGCAGAGCTCATTTCTTTAAGACACGGAAGCCCTAACAGGGGCCTTCCTTTGAAGAAAGAACTTGGTGAGAGAACAGGAGGTGGACGCAATGCTCAGATTCTGGTGCTGGAAGTGGGACATCCGTGGTGAAATTCTGTGTGGCTCTTTTGTCCCATCATCGCGTGGCCTGCCAGTACTCTTTTTACCCCTGGAAACAGGGTGAGAGTGAGTGCATTAAATCTAATTAGATCAGAGAGCCAGTCCAGAAACCCCAGAATCCATTCAGAAAACTCGTCCTGAACACTGTAGTCCTCTGGAAAGCCTTCGGGTTCAAAAACCTATTAGTTTCTTATTACTTATTGCATAACGAATTGTCACAAACTTAGTGGCTTAAAACAGCACAAGTTCATTACAGTTTTGAAGGTCAGAAGTCCAACCCGGACCTCAAGTGGACTAAGTCCAAGGTGTTGGCAGGGCTGTATTCCTCACTAGTGCCTCTACTGGGGAGTCTGCCTCCTTGCCTTTTCCAGCTTCTAGAGGCCACCAGCTGGGAAGGCTTGTAAAGGCTCTGTAATTACACTGGGCCCACTTGGATAAGCCAGGATTCTGTCCCCATCTCCGTGTCCATAGCCTTAATCATGTCTGCAAGGCCCCTTTGCCATGTAAATAACATATGCCAGAGTTCCAGAGATTGGGTAGCACGTGGACATCTTTGGAGAGCCGTCATGCTGCCTCCCTGAGCTACATAACCCCTCTGAGCCTTGATTTCCCCACTTGTGCAATGGGGATAATAAGAGTGCCTACCTCCAAAGGTGGTTGTGAAGATTCAGTGGATTAGTTCACACAAAGCAAGTGCTGAGCCACGTAGTAAGTGCTGCTGTAATTTCTCACCTCTGAGATAGCAGCAAAGCAGCCTCTTCTGGGTTGCAGCCGCCTGAAGAAATCACAGCTTCTTTAATATTGATATTTGCCAAGAGAGGGAACAATGTTGCTAGAGAAAATTAACACTAATCATGCTGCTTGAATATTTTATTCCTGGAAACTCCATGACGTCTTGCCACAAGACGGAACCCAAGTGCAGTCCCTCTGTGAACAACAGGATCTCGTGTTTTATCTGAAGCCTCAGAGGTGGGATTCACAAAAGGTCACAGTGCATTTTTAGAACTGGTAACTACCCTCATCCCTCCCCCACCAAAATTGGTGATCAGTACACAAATAGATTTAGTAACACGCTCCGTGCGTCAGAGCCAGAAGAGCTTTCTTCTGGCCATCAGCGGACACTGTGGTTCCAGTGTCATGTGACAAATGGAAGGTGGTGGCAGAGCAGAGATCAAGCTGAGATGGGTATCTCTGTAAACAACCGATGAGCCGTACGGAGGCAGGGACACCCGGTGCTGTGACGGCAGCCTTCTGGAAGGTACCGAGATAGGAGTTTAACAGCTCATGTAGTGCCGCTTGATTGAATCAAAGGCCTGGCACATAGGTTTATAAGGAGAAGTTAAAGTAATTGGTTTAATATACCAGGAAAAGAAGACTACGGGATGACTTAATTTTCCACATTAGATAAAAAGGTTTTTAAGTGAGGAAGGTTTGGCCTTGCTGCTCTCTGTGCACACAGAGGATTAAAGGGAGAACTCAAACCGACAAACAAAACCTGGAATGGAGACAGTAGAGATTTGTGTTGACTTAGGCCCCCACAGGTAAAATGCAGTCCTGAAAGCAGTGACATCCCCAACTCGAGTAATTTTTAAGAAAAAAAAAACTGGTGTTGGTATTTTTACTTGGCTGATGTCTGTCAGAAAAGTAAACATTCGTATTTATAATTTCAGTCCATGGGTACTGTCTCTTTGAAAAAAAAAGTTGCTTCAGCTTGTGTTAAAGACCTCCAAAAAGAAAAAGAAAAGGTTAAAATGAAAATAAAATTGAGAACTCAAACTTACACTAGAGTTTTCTTAAGGGTAGGAAAATTTTAGACATTTGGTCAATTAACATTCATTGAACCATCAGTTTATTAGACTTTAGGTCTGTTTTTTGCCATGTCGTTCATAAAAGATTTGAGATGGAATTTACTCATAACTTCCTAAATACTTCCTAAGTGACTGACTCAGTACCAGGCGCTGGAGGCAGAGTGGCAAACACAGCAGACACGGTCGCTGTTCTCACGGAGCCAAAGTGCTAGCAAGGGAGACCAACAGGAAGCTCGAGGATATACGAACAAGAAATAAGACCGATGATGATAAAAACGTAGCCACCTCCAGTCCGTTGTGATAGGAAGACTGGGTGGCTCTGTTAGATCAGAGCGGTCAGGGAAGACCTCTCAGGAGGTGCCGTTTAAGGTGGCATGGCGAGTGAGGAGGCCCACGGCAGGAGCGCTCCGAGGACTGCCAGGAACTAGGGAGGGAAGAAGGCCAAGTGTGGCTGGCTCTGGGGGGACCACCTGGGAGCGAGTGAGTTGCACGAGATGAGGTCAGAGAGGTCAGCTGGGGCTTCGTGACCCGGACAGGAGTTTGGATTCTGTTCATAATGTGATGGGAAACCATAGGGGACATAAGCAAAGGAACGGCTGGGTCCCATTTATATTTCTACTACATGTATCATCCTGGGTGAATCTTATAAACATAATGCACAGTGGAAAAAAGCAAGCAAGTGAAAGCAATATGATCCCACTTGTATAAAGTCCAAATATATGCAAAAATAAGCAGGGCCTCATTTGAGGATACATAGAAATGTGATGAACTGTAAAGAAAATGAATGGTAAACACAAAATTCAGCACAGCGGGTCCTGGGGAGGTCGCAGGAGAGGGGAGTGCAAGTTGGGAGGAGGGGTGCGTGGCAGACTTCAGGAGTATCGTCCGTTCTCTTTCTTGGGTTAGGGGCACATGAGTACCTGCACATCACTGCAATACCTTCTATGGACATCACCTGTACGCTCTATTAATAAAATAGTTCATTATCCAGACTGTGTTTTCAAATGATTCCTCTGGCTGTGGAATGGCTGGATTGTAGAGAGGCGAGAGTAAATCAGAGATGAAGGAGGAACCAGGGCAGTGGTCAGAGAGGGGCTGGGAGCGAGGGAAAGGAGCCGTGTGGCAGACGATGGCACCCGCTGGGCAGTGGAGACCCCGGGGAGAACAGGTAGGGAAGGTCGGCAGTCAGGAGTTAGGTGTTGCCCACCCTCATGAGACAGAGTATTAAACAGGCGCTCGGGGACAGCTAGTCCCGAGTTGGGTGCAAGAGACTGGAGCTGCAGGGAGGACAGGACTGGAGACGATTTGGGCCCCGCTGGCAGGTCAGGGATGTGAGAGCTCTGGGTCTGGACGGCTGGGGATTCTGACGTCGTTCTCACACATTTGTAATTGTCTGAGGGACTCCGGTCGCCTCACCTTCAACTGTCACGTGATAACTTGTAAAGTCAAAGAAGTGTGACGTTCTCAAGGCTTTGTATAGAATAATTTATACTTTACCATTCTTATCTTTTTTATTTCTAGATTTTAGAAATATTAATTTTCTGCATTCTCCTATACTTCCATAAGAGAAAAGGAATGAAGCACATTGTAATTCTGCTAAGCCTGGTGGCACTTCTAGGTAAGAATATATTTTGTTTCTTAATTTTCTAGTCTAGCCATGCTAAGTCAAAAATGATAGGGAGGAAAATACTTGAGCATTCTATTCCTTTCTCATTGTCCACACTTTCAACTCTTATCTATAAAAAGAAACTGAGTCTCAATGATACTCACTATACTTTGCATGTCTCTTGCTACAATTAATATACGTTGCTTTAAATAAATATTTAGTGATTTTGCTTTTTGGTTATTTTATTTGGTCTCTGACAACTTGAGGATTTTTCTCTTAGTAAATAATTGAAAAATATAGAAACAAATGATCAAGATCCATCCTGTTTACATTCTTTTAAACTTTAAAATATGGCTAATCTGAGACATAAATGTGAGCAATGTGGTTTTCTTATAGGTAACATTTCTTTCATTCATTGTTCACCTACTCATTTCTTTTCTTTCCCCAGAAGCATCTTATAAGATTAAAAGACTGATGACTAGACAAGCCCGCTTTGTGTTTCTCCCTCCCTCCTACCTCTCTGTCTCTGTTTTCTCTCTCTCACTCACATAGACGCACACACATTTTCATATATATCAGCACTAGAAGATCTTACTGATCATTTGGTAAATCCCCTTTTTAAAAATGTATTTGTAGTTCTTGTTTTGCCTCTTCACCGATGAGATGGCCCATATAGTGCATGGCATTTGCTGTCTTTAAACACTGGACTCACACCAGCGAGGCAGGAGCAGCCATGGAGTTGACCAGATGGTGGGGCTTTCATTTGTTCATTTCATTAACCTGTTCTCTCCTTTGAAGTGAAAGATTTGCATTTGTGATAGTTACTTACAGAAAGAAATTCATTCCATACCAGATTCAGGTACAGTGTTGATCAGAAGAACAGAAAAGGAACTTTATGTTCATCCCCTTCCAATTACCAGATAGGGAAAAACCAAAGAAACAACTAACAGGAAAAAATGTACATTATGCACAAAAATATTGAAAATAGAGAACATTTTAAGTGGAAAAGTAGTATAACAGAATTAAAATCATACATATCAGTTATGAGCACAAATGTAAATGGGGTTAGTTTACCCAGTAAAAAAATAAAGATTACCAAATGGATTTTGAAGAAGATTCACCCAGTCTGCTGAGGTTCAGCTGTATAAGAGTTTGCAATATAGCACTTCTTCTGACTGGCCCTTGTTGGCTGTAAAATATCTTGACTTCATAAATTTCATCTAAAACAAGATCATTTAGACTGAAACCAAAAGAAAGCCGGTCATGATGCTACTTTCTAGGTTGAAATCAAGGCAGAAGCATCAAATGCAGCAAAGAGTCCTGGGGGTCCTCCATTCATATTTAGTTGCTGATCATGGCAGGATGGGGGGGGAGGGGGAGGCACTGGGAACAGAGATGTAAGAGCAGGAGACTTAGCTCCTGGGAGAGAAGGAGACGGAAGAACAGGTAAAGGTAGAGAAACTGCATGCTTCAGTCTGATTTGGCAGCTCCGGTATTGAACTCTAAATCCTGCAACAGGGACTACAAAATATGATTGTATAACTGGCCAAAAAGAAATCCTTAATAAATCCCAGGAAGTTGATTTAGTACAGACCGACCGCATTGTTAGATCACAGTGAAGTAAAAACAGAAAATAATAACAAAAATAGAAAGCAGTAAAATCGTACCACTTAGAAATATTAACAGTACTCTTAGACTGCACCTAGTCCAAAGTGGAAACCAGGGTTTCGTTCTGGTGTATATTTTTTAAGTTATTAGAAAAACATTTCTTATTAACCCCATGGTTTATAACGAATGCTATATTCAGAAGGAAATTATTGTTTTAAATGTAAGTCAATTAAGCACTCAACTTAAGAAGTAAGAGAGAAAAAAAACCACTGAAATCCTTAAACAAAAAGTCAGCCAAATATTTTTCCAGCAAAAGGGCTTTATTCAGGAACAACTAAGAATTGCTGTCTGGAACACGCAGCCATGGCAGGCCATGTGCAAGCCCCATAAGAAAGAAGAGGATTCCTGGCTGGCGTAATCCATACATTCTACTCAGTCACATAGAAAACATTCAGTGGCAATGGGAAAGCGATCCCTGAGCAGTGTGTACTGTGTGGTTCATATTTCATAGCACATATTCATGGTCAGAGACAGAAAAGTAACTACAAAAAAATCTCAAATGTTAAAAGTGGTTTGGAAATGAGTGTTGAGATTACAAGGGCTTTTCATTTTTCTTTCCAGGCTTTTCTGCATTTTCCAAATTTTCTCCAATGAACCTATATACCTCTATAGTTTAAAAAAGATGAGTTTAAATATTATTCATAATCCCAATGCCTAGAGATAACGAGACATCTGTGTGGTTTCTCCCGGCCTTTTCTCTGCGTTACACATAAGTACTTTCTATTTTTATACAGGCAGCATTAGAATGACACTGCATTACAATTTTGTTTTTCCCAGTCCTCCCCACTACCCTAACCTCCCCATCCCCCCAAAAAACTTGGAAAAACCAGTCTAGAAATCACTCTCAAAGTTATAATAAATAGTGATTAATCAGTTGGTGATTGTACATGCTTTGAAAATATAATGCTTAACTAACTATAGCAACTAATAGTTTGGTTTAGCTGTTTACTTTTTTTAAACCCAGTCCTGTTTTTATTTTGTGTTTAAGTATAATTCAGCATCAGCCGGTGATTGAATCGGTTGACTATTTTGAAGTTAGATGACTCAAAGGGCCTTTGCAACCCTGAGGGTCTGAGGCTCACAGAACAGTGCGTTCTGCTGCTTCTCCGTAAATGCGCCCTTGGGGAACCAAGCTGCGCAGACGCCCAGACCATAACCACACTGGCTCGAAGTACAAGCAAAATGTGGAGGAGGAAATTAGTGTCCCTCCAGAGCTAGCCTTCCAAGTTTAAACCATCAAGTGACATACATCTCAACAGATACTTACATTGCTAGATTCACTGAGATGGGACTGGTGTCATAACCTACAGAAAATTTGTACAAGGATCAGGTCAGAGCTGTTTAAAGTGAAGAGGTACCTGGCAGCATGGGCCTCTTTGTTCATATTGAGGGTTTGCTTTTAAATTTATCACCAGGTCCCTTCAGTGAACTATGACTTCTAAAAGAAAGAAAATGCCTGATTTGGAAGTGTGCCCTCATACCCCTCAAACTAAAGTACATTTTCAGTTTTTGGAAAAGGAGATTATTGAACACCTTTCCTGGGTGCAACGCTTCATTGGCTATTTTAAACATACCCTTTATATGCACACATATAATACCTTTTCAAAAGCTGAAAGGAATAAAGTTCACATATTATGACCAGATAGCAACAGTAACACAAATAGTATTTCTTTCACATTGCCTTTGACTTCTTTTGATTTCATGTAAAAATTATTTCTTAATTTTTCTGTAGGTTTCAGCTAATTTATGGAATTACAGGTTACAGTAATTGTAAGGGACCTAGGACAAAATGAAAACACTGTCTTCTTCCTACAGAAACATGGCGTTTCCAGAAAACACTTCATTGCTTTCTAGTGCTATAACCTTTTCAAGTCACATTTTCTTCACTGCTATTTGGAACCAAAGAAAAATTTTCCCATAAGAGACAGGTTCCCCTTGAGCGCAGAAAATGGGTAGACATGCTTATGTAAGTCTGAGATTTACGGTTGACTCCGAGAACTGAATATTCAGCTCTGGTCCTGCTTCCTATTAGTGTCTTCTTCAGAAATTATTTTACTAAAACGTGTAGGCATTTATTAACACAGGGTTCATACACAGACTAAGCACAACTCGTAGTAAACTCCCAGAGTGAGTTGCTTTTCATTCTCCAGTCTTCTCATCTATTTGGCTTTAAGCTTTTTCAGCATAATTAATAGTGATTTTCCCATTAATGTCCCACAGCACAATCTGATTTTTCTTATCTCCTCCCTTCATTGTTTTCTCCTTTCCCATCTACTAGTAATTATTACCTCTGTAGCATCCTTTCAACAGTTCAGGCTGGAAAACAAGCACCTTGCTCCAGAGATAAAAAGCACCCAGTCACACAGTAGATCGTTAGCTGATAAAAGCAGATCCGAAGTCCAGCCCAGCTGGAGCGGCAGGGCCACGGCTCAGCTAGCATCTCATCCTACCCGGCACCTCTCACGACACAGTCTGCACGCTTAACACATAATGGAGGGTATTCACTTCACTACTGTACCATGTCAACTTGAGATATTTATGTGTAATTCTATCTAAGGTATGTATTTTATTGTGTTCTCTTTTCTTTTCCAGCCTCATTGACTGTTATCTCAGTAAAAGCTGTCTCAGGCATGATCACTTTTTCCGTGACGGATAAAATGCAACTAACTTATCCCATCTTCTATGTAATGTTTATCATCATGATAGCATCTTGTGTTTTCCAAGTCAAGTAAGTTAGCTTCTATATCCGCACCGATCTTTCAACATGCCTGTGCTTCCCCGAACATTAATCTTTATTGGCTTCAGATGATAATCAAAATTAGATGCAACTGATTTTGAAGGGTGAAGGGTCTACAGCTTATCCTCAGCTAACATGCCTTGCAATATCCTTCACATCCAATAAGAAGTTTTTACCAAGCATTGCCTTCACATCTTGTGAGTTCTAAAGTGCAACCATAATCTAGCTAAGTGCACTTTGATACTTTCCTGATGCTCTTCTGCTTGTAATTAATATCCATCGTACATAGGCTGTCGTTAGCAATAACTCAAAGGGGCAGGTCCACATCCAGAATTTCATTCTAAGTATAGGAAATACATGAACCCTTCACCTTCACTTCTTAGCTCATGCTCATTAATTGCCCAGGGATGGACAAAACCAGACGTTTGGCCGGGAGGGAAATCCTTTCCCCAGAACTTCACATCTTTGGCCAGAATTTGCTTCGTACCCAAGAGATTGTGGAATGATTGTTTTGTGTTTCCCGTGGGGCCTAATCGTGGTGACATGGAACATTTTTAATTGCAGCCCTTTTCTCCCCCCACCCCCATCTGCTCCAATCACTTCCCCTCCATTTCACTTCGTGAATATGCCTTTGCCTTCTAGGTGCTCTTGAGTCGACCAGAAAGTTTTCTGTTTACCCCAAAATGCTTTGCAAAACCACCATCCCAGGGCCAGCTAGGAAGTCAGAGCCCAGACTCAGGAAGAGAATGGTTTCTTCTTGGGTTGTAGGAGTAAAGTCTGATTGTCGTGGGCCAGCTCTAGGCCCTGTGATGGGGAGTGTGGAGAATTGCTGGTCACTGTTTCCTTTGTCATTTCCTTATAGGACTGAATGTGTTTCTAGTACTCGAATCTTGCCATTTGTCTCATCTCTCTCTTCTTCTGAATTAATCGGCGCTGCTATACTACATTTTTTAATTCAGTGATCAGTATCACCATGTTTAAACCACGCTTTGTGAATTTAAAAGGAAAATGCAATTGAAAGCAGACTGCATCCTTGTCACCCTTATTTCCGTCCCTGCCTTTTCCACACTAGAGCTCTGTGAACACACTACCACTGTAGAACTGTGGGTTTCAGTCCGTTAAAATTATCTGAGGAGGTTTGTTTACACACATATATGTACACATGTGTGCACACACACAAGACCACCCGGCTGTGCCCACAAGAATTTTTTTCAGTTGCTCAACAGCAGGACCTGAACCTCAGGGCTCTCTGAAGGTGCCTGGGTGATGCCAGTGCAGTGCGCTGCCTTAGGAAAGGTTCTAGTCCCGGACCAGGCAGCATAGCACAGTTGTGGGAACCTGAATTATGTTGGTGGCCAAAGTGAGAAGCTGAGTTCCCACATGTGCTCCACAGCTGGAGTCCTAGGCATTGTTTTTGAAACATTAAACATTCCCGTACTTCTCCATCTTCTTTGTTGGCGCGTGGCATGTCAATGCATAGCTATGCTATTCCCCAGATATGATATTTAACAGATTCTAGGGTCTATCGTAATGAATCAGCCCCAGTGTGATACTGGTCCAGCAGCTTGAATTGCTTCCAACTCAAACTTCTGTGGCCTCAGAATATGATTAATTGCTTTTCATTGTTACTGTTGTTGGTTTAAACAGACCATAAAACCTGACATCTGATCTCATACATCAGATGCATATAAGCTATGACTGCTGATTGGAAATGCCCTTTTACTGCACTTCCTTTCCCTTTGTAGTTGTAGCTAAAGAACATGCACTTCTTGATGTTATTGTTAACTTATTGCTGAGCATCTCTTAAAGCCAGAGTTTCAGTAAGTGCCTTCTACTCTAGGTTCTTAAATCACGCCACAAGACTCTACAATACAGCGACTGTGGTGCCAGTTAACCATGTTTTCTTTACAACCAGTGCCATCATTGCAGGTGAGTTTTGGCTTTCCATACATAGGTGTTCTGCCCTCACAACAAGCATACTGAGAAAAATTAAGGAACCCTTAGACTATGGGGATCTGCGTAGCCCATCTTTTCTGGCCTCCACCCAGTGTCTGAGTCTCCTCCTTAACCACCTCTAGGACAGGTTATTCTGCTTTGTGTGAAGGTTCCCCAGTGCTCCCTGCCTCCTGACACAGCTCAGTCCCGTTTTAGATTGCTCTAGTTATTTGGAGGGCTCTAATTATTAGAAAGTGTCTCCTTGTATTGGACTGAAATTAGCCTCCCTGCGAATTCAAGACACTCATCCTAGTTCTGTTCTCTGGAGTCTTCTCCTTGCCAGCCCTTGTGATCATCAAAGCAGCTGAAGCATCCTCTTGTGTCTTATCTTTGGTCCAGACACCCCCAGTTCCATAACTCTTCCCTCCCCGGCCCTCACCACTTTGATCAGAGAATGGGATCCCCAACTGAAGCCAGCGATCCAGGGAAGGCCAGACAGATGAAGACAGAAGCTACTACTTTTCCTGTTCTGGCCTCTGTTTTTCTGCTGTTGCATTCTTTTCTTGTTACGGATAATTTTTTAAAGTATATCAGACACAATAGTGTTTAAAACAAAAGCATGAAATCGAAACTTGGTCCAAACCAAACTACAGTAGATTTAGGTATATCCCTCCTAAGTTTCATACTGGTCTGCCCTAGTCCTTTGGTGTATTGGATAAATTCACCACCTTCCCATATTGAGACTTCATTTCCTATTGCAAAATGTATGTATTTGGAGATAATTAGGGATTATCTGTTTCCTAATTGGCTCATCTTCATTATTTCATTGCAAACAATGTGACTGACTGCCAGTGGGAACTTTTTAAAAGTAATTAACACCTTTTCTGTTTCCCAAAATTCAACCATTCTTTTAAAGAGAAAGATTATGTCCCAGGACATCTGATTTTTTAGCATTTTATACTTGTTGACAATAGAGAGGAAAAAATTGCACACCTCTGTGCCCTAGAATCATTAGAAAAGAAACAAGGTCAAGAAGAGTTATAGACATGACATACAGCTACTAATTAATACAGATGCATTAAAGGCATATGAAAAAAAGTAGTTTCCCTCCAAAGAAGTTCAGTAGGAGCACCCACAGGGCTGGATCTCAAGGTTCAGTGCACAGACTCATTGATGAGTCAGGGAGGCTGGACTTTCTGGGGGGTAACAGCTCCTGTGGTGTTTCCGAAGTGTTGAGTGGGGGTGGAGCTTCTTGACCAACTTCTCTCTGTTTCCATCAAAAATCATGGCTTGAAGTTAAAGTCAGAATGAGATACCATATTTTGCCTACTAAACTGGTAAACTTTTTTCTTTTTATCACCATAACCAAGCTGACAAGGCTGCAGTGTCCCTGGCATTCCTGTAGAGCTTTGGGTGGCATGGTACCACCTTGCTAGAACTGAGTGTCATCGTTTTTATCAAGAAACTTAAAAATGTTTCTACTCTTTGATTCTATGACTCTACAGCAACAACAAACAAATAACCCCAATTAAAATATGGGTAAAGGACTTGAATAGACATTTCTCCAAAGATGGAGAAAGGGCCAATCAGCACACGTTACAATACTCTGCATCACTACTCCTTAGGAAACGCAGATCAAACCCACGAGGAGATACCGCCTTCTATCCATTAGGATGGCCACTGGAAAAGAACAAACACAGCCCTGGCTGGCAGAGCTCAGTGGACTGAGCGCGGGCCTGCGAACCAGAGGATCGAGGCAGTCAGGGCCCATGCCTGGGTTGCAGGCCAGTTCCCAGCAGGGGACGCATGAGAGACAACCACACACTGATGTTTCTCTCCCACTCTTTCTCCTTCCCTTCCCCTCTCTCGAAAAATAAATAAATAAAATATTTAAAGAAAAAACACAGAAAACAACAAGTATTGGTGAGGATGTAGAAAAATTGTAACCCTTATGCACTGTTGGTGGCAATGTAAAATGTAGTAGCCACCCAGCAATTTGGGTACATGTTCAAAAGAACAGAAGGCAGGGACTCAACAGATATTTGTATGCCCGGGTTCATAGCAGCATCAGTCACAGTAGCCAAAAGGCAGAAGCAACCCAGCTGTCCATAGACAGATGAACAGACAAAGAAAATGTGGTCCATACATACAATGAAATATGTGTATACCAGCCTCAGAAATGAAGGGAATTCTAAAACATGCTACAACATAGATAAACCTTGAAGACATTGTGCTAAGTGAAATCAGGCAGTCAGAAAAAGACAAGCACAATATGGTTCCACCCGGAAGGAGGTGATCTGGAGTCGTCAGACTTATAAAAACAGGAAGTAAAATGTGGTGTCAGAGGCTGGGGCAGGAGACACTGAGGAGCCGTTGTCCAATACATATAGAGTTTCAGTTTTGCAAGATGAGAAGGCTCTGGAGATTGGTTACACAACAATGCAAATATATTTAACAGGACTGAATGGTACACTTAAAAATGGTCAGAATGGCAAACTTATGGTATGTATACTGTACTATAATTTAAAAAAAGGGAAAATGTTCTCTTTAGGAATTCCACTTTAAGCTACAACAACAAAAATCCTAAAATACTGGGGGGAAAAATATGTGCAAAGTAGTTTATTGTTGTTACTTTACTAAAGCAAAAACCAAAACAACTTAAAATGCCCATAGGGAAATGAATAATTTGGTACATCAGCTTATTAAATAACACAGAATCATAAAAATGCTTGCAAGGAAGTGTGTAATAATGTTTCAGAAATGTTCGGTCATTCAACAATTATTCATCAGAGCAGGACGTGACCTCTTCCTATAAGAAGTTCATTCACTAGGTAAGAAGATAGGCTTCAGACCGAGAAAGCTCCCAAGTCTAGGACTCTGTCTTGTTCTTCGTGGTACCTGCGGCCCCAAGAACAGGGGCTGGTACCGAAGACTCTCGATAAACATTTGTCAGCCAGCTAGCAGGGCTGCCATCCCACACACAAAGATTTAACTTCAAATAATACATAATTTAGAGATATCTCATTTCATAAAAACTCTATGAAGGCTTTGGGGTCTTAGAGCAGGAAGAAATCACGGAGAGCAGCAAGGAGAGAAGAAAAGTTCACACACACACACGCCTTCCTTTACCGGAAAGGGAAGAGCAGGAAAAGGAGATGGGGGAGGGGCTGGTCGTGAGTCACGGAGCGCGGGTAGCACATCAGATGCTCCACTGACCTCCAGTGCCTGAGTGAGCATGTGGCCGGCCTGTCAGACCGCAGGGCATCGCCAGAAGTGACAGCACGGGCTGCAGCTGGCCCCAAGCGCTCGTGCTGCATCACAGACCCCGGGTCCACCCCGACTCCCAGGTCGGGCTTGCTGACCCCTGGCTGCAAACTGTAGGTGGGAACTGCCACTAGGGTTTTGTCTCCTTGCATGTGCCAGGTGGACATATCCTTGCCTGGGTAAGAAATTTCTGCTTGAAAAAGTTATATTAAAGTGCACTGATTTTATAATAATGATACTTAACATTATATACAAAGTCTACAAATCTATGTTCTCTTTGAAATCATTGGAAATGTAACTGTGGCATGAAAGTATTTTTAAACTAAGCTACTGAATGTGCACTTTAAGGGTAACTATACTTAAAAAAATACGTACAGTAGTTTCCCTTTATTCACTGGGGTTATGTTCCAAGACCCCCACTGGGTGCTAAAACCATGGACAGTAGCAAAACCTATAGATACCATTTTCTCCTGTGCATACGTATCTTTTCAGTTAGAAGGGAGCATTTTATGGCTTCTTGTTGGCATATCTGAATTGCCAGCACCACTACTCTTGAGCCTTGGGGCCGCTGTTTAGTAAAATACGGGTTCACTTGAACACAAGCCATGAGACACTCCAACAGTAAATTTCACAGCCGAGATAGCTGCCAAGTAACGTGAAGGGAGGGGGAGAGCCACGCGTGCTTCCCAGAGGGGTTATTCACATCCCGGGCCGCAGGGCTTCGTCCCACCACTCAGAACAGCACAACGCAGAGCTTATGAATTGTTGATTCCTGGGATTTTTCACTCAATGCTTTCGGACCAAAGTTGACCATAGGTAACTGGAACCACAGCGAGCAAAACCCAGGGTAGAGGGTCTCCTGTATTAACATAATTTGGAAAACAATGTACAGCTTTTGTAAACAAGCTAAAACTCATTTTGTCTTTAATTCTTGTTAAAGGTATCATATTTTACAAAGAATTCCTTGGTGCAGCTTTTCTCACTATATTTATATATATTTTGGGGTGAGTAAATGTCCCAGAGGTAAGTAAGGTATATGAAATCCTATTACTTTTATGTAGGATTTTTGGCATTGTACCTGAGGCATAAAAAATTGGAAAATAATATGAGAAACAACTGTTTCCTGAGCTCCTAAAGGAAACATTTTTCAATTTAACACCCTATACAAGGTTCACCGTCTTTCACTTTGTGATTTCAGTGTCTGTAAGAAGGTTCTGAAACACTGGAGATTTTCCAGTTCCAGCCAAGATAAATCCGCTGGCTCTGTAGCTACTTGGTGGTCTTTTCATACTGTATCAGCCCTATCTTGCCCTTGGAACCCCTAGGTTAGATCTCGATCAGGGAACCACGGGTACCTCTAGGATCCCTAGAATAAAAGGCCGAGACAGGCAGGTCTAGCTCTGATAACATCAGAGTGTAGCATCCCCTTTTCTGGGTGTGGCTGCCCAGCTTTAACGCTTTGTTGCTGGGCGTCATTGCTGACATCCTCGCGGAGAATAGATCTTTGAGGGCGCGTCACTACTGTCGAGGATCTTCCGTGGGGCCAAATGGCACTCCACTAATGCTCCGCTGCTACTCGGCCTGGTGTTCTGTGTGACCATCGTTACGCAAACTTGAGCCCAGGCCACTTTCAGCACAGAAAGCCATTTATCTTGAACATTCAATTTCATAAGATATTTGGACAAGACAAACTTTCTGGGATCTGGAAACTGTGACTATTCTTATGGCCAAGGACAACTGAATTTCTTAGAAAATTAAAGAATAAATTATTATGTTTTTCATGTGTTGCATGCCAGTGCTGGGCCTGGGTATGCACGGATAGAAAATGAGACTGAATGTCTACCCAAAGGGTGTAGAGCCTCAATCAGCCTCCAGATGCTGAAAACCTGGAGCAGAGACTTACTGGAAGCGCTCCAGGTCTTGGTTTTGAGGACACATATTACTGGCTGCAGCAATGCAGACAAGTTGTAGGCGGCTTACCATGAGAAGCAGGAAGAACAAACCAGGGAATTCATGTCATCATGTAGACGAATACCATGCTCAGTTATTGAATACCATGAGTTGTTTCGATGTCCTTTATTAATATTTTTCTCACAGGTGTTTGCTGTCATTCCTTGGTGTGTTTTTGGTCACAAGAAATCGAGAAAAGGAACATCTGCCACAGTCTTACATTGATTTTGGAAATATTCCTGGTAAAACTATATGTTCTTTAATTTACAACAGACAATATTATCCTCACAAATTAATAATTGCGGGTATTATTTTAGACATGTAAATTAATATAAAACATAGTTCTTTTCTTCAGAAAGTGTACATTTCATGATACTACCAGAGGTGGTGTTGTAACTATAAATATCAGTAATCATTTCTTCGAATGCCAGGTTTACACAGAGCACTGAGGATACAAAAGAACTGACCCTGTCTTCTAGATTTGGGTGATGTTGGAGATTTCGCCTCTGAGTTTCCTTAAATTGGAAAAGAATAGGAAAGGAGTAGGGAGTGGCTACCCACAGCAGCCCAGATGCTCAGAGAGCCTTGGAGGGGTTGTCTCACGACCAAGGCTAGGCTGCCAAGGAACGAGGTTCCTGGGAAGACCGCGGTGGCCTGTGCACTGTAGGGCCAGGTGTGGCGTGCTTTCCAGACACCTGAACGTGAGCAGCTCCCTCCCCTCCCGCCTACCTCGTTCATCCTTATCTGTTTGATATGTGCCGTCTTTCCAGTCAGTTGTCTGCTGTCACTGAGAGTCAGTCGCTTTAGCCATGTGGACAACAGAAGTGACGTCCAGAACAAAGGAAATGATTCACTGTGTCCTCCCTGCCCCACCACCGGCTGCCACCCTCAACCACCTGCAGCTTTGCTAGGGATCTGGGGTGACCTGCAGGTCTCCGGAAGGGGTAGTGATGTTCCCACGGTTCCTCCAGCATTCTGTTGGGACCAAGCCTTTGAAGAAGAAAACATGGAAGCCTTGACCCTGCATCTGAGAAAACATGGCCCTGTGAATTCTGTGTTCTCTTTCCCTCTGGGGCCACCTCGACCAGCTAAGAGCGTTCAGTGTGAGAACTGATGTTTGTGGCGAGGGAATGTGTTATAGGTGGCTTCTATGGATTGAGGTTCTTAGGTAGAAAATGCAGTTTACTTATTTTTCACTCTCTTTTTCATGTCACAAAGCCCCATCCACAGGATCAGGGATAGCTTTAGAGGCCACTATGAAAGACTGCTTTTCTAAGTTGTTGGTGCGTTAGATGAAATAGGACACTGGGGAGAAAGCTCTGGAGATGAGTTAATGCGTCATGTTAACCTCCCATCTGGCCGAGCAGGGCAGGCCCCATGGCCGGGGCGCTGCTGGGCGGTGCACGATCAAATGTCAGGGGACGTGGAGGTTAAAGGGCCTTTTCTTCCCCGACGTTTTCCTCTTCTGTTTAGAGCATGACCACATAAGCATCAAAAAGGGGGATAAAATGTGGCCTAGATCGAGGAGAAATTATTAAAACCTATTCTTCCCTAAGAGCTCAAAAGACTTTTTTTTGTAAGTGTGATTATTATCTCCACAGGGAAACAAATGTTGGATAAAATACAACCAGATTCCAACAGCTTATCCTATGGAACAGTGCCTGATGGAAGTGACTCAACAAAGAGCCAAAGTGGAGAGAAGAAAGAGGCCTAGCAGGCCGAGAGGGATGGCCCTGGGCCTGCTACTCGATACCACCTTTTTAAAAAATTGCACATGTTCAGTTTGTGTCAGCAGCTATTTATCGCTGGCGTGAGCCAGCGTTAGTCCCAGTCCTGAGCCCTGCCTCCATTTCTGTGGACACTCAGGCCTTCCTGAGCCTTGACAGTCTAATGTTCTCGTGGAACGCAGCTCCAAGGGCTCCCCCACACCACGGGCCTCTCGCTAGTGATCGTGTGACGGCTGCGTCTTAATCAGAGCCTGGCTTCCCGAGGATGAATGCCACAGAAAAACGCACACCCACGACTTGGCCGTAGAACACATGGGCTGCTTTCCCCAAAGGGCTGTGGTGGCAGTCGCTTTGCTTTAAAGAGACACTTGACCCCACAGCCTTACTCCTGAACAAAGGTTCCGGAGCATCCCTTTTTTTAACTCTTAACTGCCACATAACATCTCACCATCCTGTTCCTAAATAAGAGCAGTGAGTCATCTTTTTTGAAAACTAGCCCTACCTGTGGCTCCCCTTTAAAAACGAAGGGTGTCTTTAAAATTAGAATTTGTAAGTGGCATCCTGTGACGGGGCATACCAAAACTAAAAGACCTTGGCTGGTGGACTTTTTAAGCAAGGGAAAATTTAAGAACCAGGGCCAATTTTTAAAAAAATAAAAATACAGGATGGTGGCATTTCTTTAGCCATGAGATCCTATTTACCTTCATTGAAACTGAAGGGAAAACTTAATATTCTATGCCTTCATTTGTGTAGCTGTTAAAATTTGTCAAGTGGGTTTATATGTTGTAACTCTTTTAACACGTCTCAAAAATCATATTTAAATTCTTGCTGATATTTTCACTAACACACTGTTGCTCCCCTAAGTCATTATTTCAAGCCTTATAAATTCATCCACACAAAAGGGATGATTGGAGGGAACTGGATTCCAGCCATTTAAATCTTAAACGAAGCCTCAGGCAGGTGGCCCATCTGAGCCTAGAGAGGAAGTCCTGTGCTCCTGTACCCTGAATGGCTTTTCTGTTGCGGTGAGTCACAATCTGCTAAGATAGCATTTGCATAATCATCCATTACTTATGCTCTATCTAATATTTAAATGAGGAGAAAAGAGTTAACCTTCACCGTAGCCATAAGCAATAAGCCCTGTGCTTAAGGACTTTGGAAAGCTTCAGGTCACTTCTGACCAGTCTGTACAGCAAGGTTCCAGCCAGTTGCCTTTGCATTTGTGCAGGGTGTTTAACTCACACCCAAAGAGACTATAATCTTGATTGTTGCAGGTCTTTCAGCTTTGTTCTTTGTCATACCCTGCGCTCCTGATCAGACCAACCAAACCTGGCCATAGAGGCAGGATTTGAATCCATCTCCAATGTATGCATAACAACCTAGAGCCCATGTCTGGCTTTTGAACTCCTGGTAAGAATTCCTGCCATTGTGGAATGTGTTCCATTAATTCAAATAAAACAGTCATAATTTATGGCATGTTTTTCTGAATTGGTCCAACATGTTGGCCCGGGAAGGCTCAGCTAAGAAATGTATCTGGTGTCTTAAAATACAGATTTCTGGTGACTCTTAAGACTGGTTCAAAGATTGGGAAAATAATGAGACCGTAGAGTTTGACTTAAAGCAGGACTGTATTTATAGCTACAGCACATGGTTTTGAGCTTTGGAGAATTTTGCACAGACACAAGCACAATACTGATACTTTAGTGATCACCCACACTTGTATCTTTTTTAAGGGTTTTGAAAAATAACATTGACTTACACACCTTCAAGCCATCTAGCAATGCTTTAGAAGTTCAGGTAACATATTTCAGGCCGAATGTTACTTTCCATATTGCCACTCCAAAATAAGATGAAAGGAATTTCAGTTGTGCTGGACTGTAAAGATTTTTTAAATTACACAGTGCATCACAACCACCAAAGCCAACCCAGCCCTTCTTTTGGCATCATGAATGGGGGACCTTCAGCCAGCACTTGAGTCATCTGACTGACTATGTGTCTAGACCAAGGGTCTGCAAAACTTTTCCTTTAAAGACCCAAAGAGACAGTGTCTTGGGTTTGTGGGCCATACAGTGTCGCAACTACCCCACTCTGCCTTTGTTGTGTGAAAGCAGCCACAGGCGACATGTAATAGGTGAGCCTGGCTGTGCCAGTAAAACCTTATCTACAAAAACAGGTTGCCGGTCCGTGGGCTGTAGTCAGCAAACCCCTGGTTAGACTCCTCCGCCCTTGCTACGCAGCTTCTTTCTTGTTCCTCGGGCACTTGAGAGCTTAAAAAGCAACAGTTCTTGTTCGTGACAAACCAAGTACCGTGGCAGGATCCTTTCACTTGCACAGGATACAAATGGTGCCACAACGTCATTGCTGCTGCCAGAATTTCTCTCTGAAAGGCAGTGGCTCTTTTGTGAGCACTACTGCCTGCCTGGAAGAGTCCCTCCAGCCCCACACTCCCACCAGTAACAGCTTCAGAAAACGGCTAGGAGTTACCTCTCATGTAATAGACTAAACAGAAGTCTTTACCATCTGGCTGTTTTCAGCTTAAATGTCTTCTTGCCTTATAATACTTTCGTTACTTTGAATCACCTGGAAAAAAATGCAATAAAAAACTTCTCAAGCAGTGACTCAGAAGGTATTTTTCAACACCGCTCCCACCTCCGCGAGCTCCTGGCGAGTCTATTTCATGGCAGAGAAAGAAGGGAAAGAAAACAGATTTCATAGATTAGTGCAATTTAGTGCTATTGAGGAGTCACAGTGCGCAAGTTTGGCTCCAAAAGAAGCAGGTGCAGCAGTGGACATGGCTCAGTGGATAGAAACACTGAGCCAGATCCCTGAAGCCAAGAGCCCTCTTGATGCTTCTTGCTTCCAAGCACACAGCTCATCCAGGAGTGGTGACTCTACACACTCGGCCACACCGAAGGCGGCTTCATGTTTGCCAATTTAATAGTGATATTCTGGACGTAAATACAGCAGTTACTAAAATCAACTTTCCCAGTACCCTTCCAGACCGCTTTTCTTAAGTTCTGTGGATGGTTAGAGAGGCAGTCCTTGAACAGGGCAACTAACTGCAAACCTAATACATGTGTCTGGCACCAGTGAAAACAAGTGCTTTAGTGAGATTGCTAGAAAAACGCACATTTTGAGCTTTTGGGACCAAGATCTCAGGATCGAACCTAACATGATAGTATGAGGAATTTAGAAGCAGTTTCAAATCATTACACTCATCAGTAGTCTGGCTCTTATGGTCATCTTGAAGTAAAGAAAATAAAATTCCACACGTACATGCTATAGTTTCCATGCAACTATAGACCTGCCTTGGACTACTCTACATAGTGTTTTAGCAATTGTGGTAGATGCAGGGAAAAGCCTTCCCGTCCAGAAATTCTTGAGTCTGTCCCCTTTCTCACCAGCCCCAGGGTACCACATACTTGCTGCCCTGTGCCAGGAGAGCAGATCAGTTCCAGGATCTGTGCCTGTTCAAGGAAATGTATTTTTGCTAGAAAGGGAGTAAACTCCTCCTTCAGTATTGGTCCTTACTGAGAATTAATGAGTCCCAACCACAATGTAAAAAAGGAGTATCAATCCCAACATCAAAGAAATGTGTTTCAGGGTGCACCCACCTGGGCCGGATGCTGCCAACAGTTTCATGCAGTTCCAGGCAAGAGAGTCTCCGAGTTCTAGGAAAGAATCTCCTTCCCGGGGAGCTGGCAAGTGCGTGGCCGAGAAGGAGCCCAGCTGTTCCTGATGGGACCAGCATGCGTGGACTGAAGCCACTTTGCACATTTGGGCTGCTGCTCTCCAGACGCAAGCTAATCTTCCCAGCGTGCACGCATCCCGCTTTTGGAGCCTTTTCCTTCATGGTTCTAATTTGAAAACCAACCTCAGCAATTTACTGAGGCTTGGGCTCTACTCCTTCCATCCAAAGCGCCTCACCTAAACCCTCTAAACACTGAACGTGAACAAGGAAATGAATCAGCTCAAGAACTCTCGATCCAGGGACGCAAAGCTTGAATGGTTCTGCCCGATTATAGACCACTAACCCAATTACCACATGCCTCCAACTTAGCACGTGTTCATTAATTCACCGAGACATAATTGATCACAAAGTATTTTCAATGTAATGTGCCTAAAGTTATTAGGGATATAAAAATGAATTAGGCATGAAGACCAGCTCTTTAGGAACTTAGTGTCCAGTCAGAGAAATGGCAGCTTTCACTTATTGGTCCTTTACTATGTGCCAGGCACGGGGCAGAGTCTTTTCGCTGTGCTACTCACTTAATCCAGGCAATTTCTCTCTCAGCAAGGTCATTATCCCTACTTTACAGATTCAAAAACCAGGGCAAATGGCAGGGTGGGAACTAGGATCAGACAACAGGGGCACCTGGGGCACAAAATTTAAGGAAACTTGTGGAAATCTCACTGCCGGTGAGAGGGCTGATCCTGCAGTTTCAGGGCCTGAGAATGAGGGCCTCCTTAAATTTTGTGGTGCCTTGTTGCATCCTGGCCCTGGCAGGTGACTTGGCCAGTGCCATTCAGCTGGCAAGTGATAGAGCTGGGATTTGAACCCAGGACTTCTAACTCTGCAAACCACATTCTCACTACTGGTACCAACACATCTACACTGCACAACAGAACAACAAAGGTGCCTTAAGAGACTTGAATAAAGGGCATGGGAACCCACAAAGAGGGCAGGTCACTTCTGACTAGGGGACATCTTTAAGGGAATTGAGGATTATAGTGAAATAAATGTTGCCCACCTTCCGCAAAAGATATGTCCACCACCTAACCCTCAGAACCTGTAAATGTGACTTTATTTGGAAAAAGCATCTTTGCAGATGTAATTGAGTTAAGGATCTTGAGACAGATAGCGTCCTGGAGTAACTGGGCGGCCCCTAAATTTAATGACAAATGTCCTCATAAGAGACAGAAGAGGAAACAGTACAAACACATAGAGGAGAAAGCTACCGGAGACTGGAGTTGTGAAGGGACAGCCAAGGAATGCCTGGAGCCTCCAGACCTGGAAGAGGCAGAAGCTTCTCGCCCAGAGCCACTGGAGGCAGTGCAACCCAGCGACATCTGATTGCAAGCTTCAGTTGTCTAGAACTGTAAGAGAATAAATTTCTGTTGCTTTAAGTCTGAGTTGGTAGCACTTGGCTGCAGCGGGCCCAGGACCGGAATACAGGTTGAACTGGAAGCATGTGTAGAATTTGGACAGGAAGGCAGCCCAGGAGCAAAAGGGGAATTGAACATCTCAGAGGAAGCTTAGGAAACCTCTGTATCCTGAGTCCTAGGCGAAGGAAGACAACTTCTGGGTGAGAAAGGCAGTTGAGAAGGCCTTGAATGGCCAGCCCTGACCTGGACTCTGACTTGGGAGGTAAATGATGACATCAGCTTTATTTTGGGGTGGTGACTGGGGCTCAGAGCACCATTGGTGTCTCTTTAAAAACTCACCCTATCAGAATCGAATGCCATCTGCCTTGCATCTTAGTCATTTGCTATCAATATTCGATGGCACAATAAAAGTTCAACCAGTAACATCGGAATTTGATTCTGCCTTTGAGGCACATCATGTCTGACTGGAAATGTTCAAATGTATCAGGGCCCTGGGCTGGACAGTGATTGCCCGACGGCCTTGGACAGAAGAGCTTTGTGTAGAGAAGGAAGGGCGTGCGGGGCCACCCAGAGCCATGCTCTCCGGAACCTGAACTGCAAGATGGGAGGGAGTCAGGACCCAGGAGTCAAAGCTGAAGTTGAACGGCTCTGAGAGATGTGACGGGAGAAGGGGACGGCTAAGGGCCTGAGCAGGCCACATTAGTAGTGAATTGACGTTTCAAGGAACAAGGAATCATGAGTGTAAGAGAACTAAGAGCCCTGGGCAGAGGGAGGGGAAGTGAGCAGGTACGACAGAGGAGCAGAGACTTGGAGGGGGTTTGGCCGGAGACGCTGTGAGCAGAGAGGCAGTGACCGAGAGCCCACTCGGCCCACTGTGTGTGGGAGTTGCCTCCCTTAGCTCACGGACATGCTGTCAGTAACAGCCAACCTCTTCCTTCTCCAGATGGGAGACTGCTCCTGGCCACCCAAAGGGCCTCATTTTCACAGCGCTCATTGGGATTCCAGAGATGTTAGATGGGGCTGCTAGCACGTGAAGGGAAAGAATGAGCCTGTTCAAGAAATGCTTCATGAAAACTGGGGCAACCTTCTTCCGAGTATTCAAATTACAGTGACTCTCGTTGAACTGTTCAATGAGAGTCCCAACCAACAGGGGAGGGACCATCTTTAGAAAACAGACGGAAGGTGGTGGACCCAAGAAAATGACCAGAAGTCCCTGGTTGGTCCTAAGCTTCATCTTAATGAACATCCTAACCTTGTTCTTTTTCAAAAGTGTGGTAAAACTGATACTGGTCATTGGAGGACGGCCAAGGCATCTGCTGAGTGAGAGAGGAGGTGAAGGAAGTGGGGCTGAACCAAACAGAAGACATAATGTGAACCCTTCTCCATGTGGAGAGAATGATCTGTCCGTCCAGTCACACAGGAGAGAAGCAGAGAGCTCAACAGTGAAAGAAAGAGAGAGAGAGAAAGAGAAGGAAGGAAGGGAGGGAGGGAGGGAGGGAGAGAGGGAGGGAAGGAAGGAAGGAGAAAGAAAGAAAAGAAAAAAGCCCTTTAAACCCCGCAGCCCTCCACACAGCGTGCACCGGGGCGTGCAGGCCTGAGCAGCTGGGCCTAAGGCATCAGGCAGGAAGGACCTGGCGGGGGAGGAGGTGAGCGCCTCCGAGCAACGCCTCCTCCCAGGCTCTCGCCACACCCCCAGGCCGCACCCGGAATCCTAGGGCAGTTCGCTCTGCCGTGGGGACTGTTTGGGCGCCCTCGCCGCCCCCCTGCGCCGTGGTCCCTTTCTCCCTTCGGGGTGGAGGTCTGCAGGACACAAGCAGAGACCCCCGCCGCCCCGCCACGTTCTCGGCCGCCGCCCGCGGCGCCCGCGTCTGCGGAGGAGGACAGGCGTCTGCCACCCGCGGCGCCCCGGGCCTGCCTCGGGCCTTTCTCTAAAGCGAACCACCTGCTTCCCGCCCGGCCGGGCCCCCGCCTTCCAGGGCCTCCGCGGCGGAGCCCGGGTCCAAACCGCGGCAGAGGCGCGACAGCCTTGGCAGCGCCGCCGCCCCCCTGTTGCTCGCTGGGAGTTTTGCGGAATCCGTGTCGCTTTCCGCGGAGCCCAGCACAGTCGGGCAGGCACCGAACGAAAACAGATCGCGGGCCTGTCCCGTTTCCTCGGCACCCCGCTCTCGCCCGGGCGCGGGCTTCCCTGGACATCTGGGCCGAGGCCGCCTCCAAAGGACGCTGGGAAGGGATGATGTTTTTCTTCCATGTTTTTAGTTCCTTTCCTTTTGTTGACTGGAGGTTTATGAGGAGGGTGGAAGGGGGTAGGGAGTTAACTTCCAAATTTCCTTTTGCCAGCCCCATTTGGAGGTGGACGAACGACCGGGGGCTTGTTTTCCCATCGACAAGGAAGAGCTAATTCTCTCTGGCTTGCTGGCCCTCCGAGGAAGATGGGAGAGGAAGAGCAGGTGACACGAAGGTGAACTAGCTGTGGAAAGAGAGGCCCTGAGTCGCCCTCTCCCTCCTGTT